GCTGAAGATGAACCGGGTACAGAGAAAGCTGGTCATCTTAACCGCTTCCTCCAGTGCATCCCTGTGTGATAAAGACCATGCAGGGACTGAAACTCCTCCACTTCTCAGGCCCAGGGAAAAAGGGAACCAGAATCCCCAAACCTGCTGGCTCATACCCACTAGAAAACATCATAAAAAAGAAACACTCTAAAACTTGCTCAATTTGATTTGCTGAGGCCTGAGTGTTGGAGGGTCTCATGCCAGGCCCCTGTGTGGGAGGAGCTGAACTTTAGGGCTACAGTCTCTTCATAATGGGAATTTTCATAGAATCGAGTTTATTTGAAATCTGGTGAAATGGTGGCTCAGTGCACGCTACTAGGAAAATAAAATGGGGGGGGGGGGGGGGGGGGGTTGTTAAATCCTTTCTATAAATAGAGTCTGGGTTCTCTGGATGCTCTGCTCTGCCTCTGCTCTCTGGCACGGGCAAGCTGCCCTGCACGGGGGTGCAGACCTTGCTTCCAGGGGCACTAAACTCCTGTCCTGAGGAATGTGACTGGCATGTAGAAGAGTGTAAGCCCTGGAGAAGGGAGGCAGCACGCACTTGGCACTGCATTTCATACAAGCATGGATGTCTTTTGGTTTTGCAGATCATAGGCTACCGCCCTGGTGCTGGGGTCCCCGTGAGTGTGGACTGCAAAGTGCAGGTACTGCTTTCATTCATGCTTGGCACCGTGGTGTGTAGGCAGTCAAATGTCTCCCTTGGATGCACCCCACCAATACCTGTCCTCATTTTAGCCCCAAACACCTACAGCATCCAGCACTGCAGATGCCTCTGGATGCAAGTGGAGCCTGGGCTGGTCTGCTGAGAATGACAGAGGCCACCAGTCTCCTGCTTCCCACCCTGGCCCTCACCCTGCCAGCTCCTACCAGCCCACAGGGCTGGGTGCCAGGGTGCCAGCTAGAGCTTAGAGCTGGGGGGGAAGAGGCAGGAGCTGCTCACATCCATCCCCACCCACTCCGCAGGACGCTCAGTCCTGGGGAGCACCCCACAAGCCAACAGCATTAGGGTAAAGGAAGGGCTCCCACTGCTCAGCCAGCATCTGGATCATACCCTTAGAGAGCAATAAAGCAGCAGGCAGCAAATTCTGTACCCCTCGCCTGTGCCCTTGTAGCACCGTTATGCTCGGGCTCGCTGCAGCGCAGCAGGCTCTCCCAGCAAACGCTGCGAGCAGGCAGGCAGGCGCAGTGGAGCCCTGACATGGATTTGTGAGGGATGTCTGTGTTAAAGCTCCTTCACCTTACCTGAAGGGAGCTGTATTTTGTGTCCCACATGCTGTGTGTCTACCTTTACTTTTTTTCCAATCACAGAAAGGCAATGAGAGTGATCTCAGATCAGTGAACTTCTACCCTGGAAATGGGACGTTTGATCTCATGTATTATCCCTACTACGGCAAGATCACTCATGTAAGTAAGGACCCTGGCATCTTTGTTATGTCTCCTTGGGAAGGAGAGGGCAGGAGCTGCTGCACAGAGTACAGATGTGCTTTCTGGCTATTTTGGGCAGATGCAGGCAGGAGGGAGGCCACGGGCACTGGGATTACAGCGCTCTATTTCTGTCTCTGACAAACTGCGGGAAATCCTTGGGGACTCCAGTCCCCCCTTGCCAGCAGTGGGAATGATTGCATTTATCATCTGGAGACTAAGACTGGCTTTGCTAACTGCCAGAGGCGGTCTCAACACCAGCATTTTCCCAGGGCATTAGGGAAGTCAGGGGTTAGGTGGCACAGAGGAGAAGGATGGGGCTTCTGTCAAAGCTATGACAAAACCACTTAGAATCATAGAATTGTTTAGGTTGGAAAGGACCTTTAAGATGATCAAGTCCAACCATTAACCTACCACTGCCATCCCACCACTAAACCATGTCCCTAAGCTTCAGGCTAGGTGGCTCAAACCAGAGCAGTCCAGCATCGGTGGCTATTTCTGACCACGCTGGCCAGCACTGCTTTGGTCTGTGCAGCGTTAGGAAGTAACACACCTTCACAACAAAAGCTGAAATGGAAGAGGCACTAGACTGGCTGAGGGTAAGTAACAGCCCCAGAGGCCAGGTCTGCATGGCCTTTCAGCACACAGATCTGAGGAGCACCACGGATTTCTTATTACAAGCCATAGGTTGGGTTTTAGAACAGCAGAAAGTATTTGAGAGTCCCAGTGTTCGGTGTTCTCTCTCCTGGCTAATCAACCCAAGAGGCACGGTGCGGCGCGAAACTCCGACGCGATCCTGTCCCTCTGAGGCACAGGCACAGAAAGGCTCAGCTTTTCTTCTTTTTTTGAGGGACATCAGGCAAACACACTCAGACACCTGGGAACCGTGAACCAATTACAAATTATTTTTCCTGAACATGAAAGCACTGCCGGCTTTTCTGCTCCTTCAAAAACTGCACTTAAATCTCCCTTCTTTTTAGGTCAACTACACGTCCCCACTGGTGGCTATGCACTTTACAGACGTGAAGAAGAATTATTTGGTCCCTATTCAGTGCAGTCTGAATGGGAAAGGTATTATCAACGACGTTAACAGCGACCGCTTCCTGGGCCGAATCATCTTCACACTCAGCATTGGAAAGTAGCCACCGCAAACACCGGGCACTTAGGTTAAGTCAATCAGAGGTTTTTTTCCTTTTTAAAGCATAAAGCCAGCATTTTTTCTGCTAGGAAAAACAGGCACATGGAGATTTCTGTTAATTTATTTTTGTTCATAGTTAGGAAACAAATGAGATGCAGTGGAGCGTGGAACCACATTTTTCATCATCTGATGTAAATCATTATTAGTAAAAATTAAAAGTTATCTCCTGGGCAGAGAACCTGCAAAAGCATTTCAGTTTTGATTAAAAAACCCTCTGGTATCTGAACACTGTTTTCATAAGGTCTTTGTGAGTGACCCCTGTGGAATGCATTTTTCCTGGCTTTAAATTCTCATCTTTACCATAGTTTTATGTGCATTTCTCAGGCAAAAGCTAACAAGAGCAGTTTATTAGCACTATTCTGGTTAAAATAATAAACAGCAAAAATTCTGGATTACGCCTGCAATGACGCAGTCAAAAAGTGAAAGTGGCAGATCTCAAAATGCCTCTAAGGATTTTCAGCACCAGGAGCATCTTGACTGCAGCATTTTACACAGCTTGTTCAGCACACCCAAGGTGTTGGAGCAAAGGCCATGGAGAAAATCATTTGCCCTTGAACCTTTCCAACTGTTCCTTTCTGAAGTGGGAAGATTAATGCATTTCTCCTTCCTCCTCCTCCTCCCTCTAGTACTTCTTTCTGCCCCAGGAATCCTCATCAAGTCTATTAGGCAGGGACAAGTGGAAGGAGCTCTTCTCTCCCTGCCACGGTTCGCTGGTTGACAGTGCCTCCTTCCTCTGTTCAGGCACAGGAGTGTTAGACCCCAAAATATTTCAGACCTGCTCTTCCCTGTTCCAGAGAGGTCACAGCTATAATGCTGCAGAACACCGCAGGGAAATGCTTAGTTGTTTCATCATTAAGGGGTCAATGCTGGTATTAGTGAAGTCATCAATTTATCATCCTCAAAGACCTATGAAGCACACTTGCCCTTGTCCGAGCAGGGTGCTGCCAACCTGAGCAACCCCTGCTGCGCGGCCAGCCTGACCCTCCCAGGCCCGGGAGCACATCGCCTTCGTATTTGACAGAGATGAACTACACTCGGCGTGTTACGAGCTACAAGAACACAGCAGGACAGGACACCTTAGGATAATGTACTAGTTGGAAAGCACACTTACTAAAATTACTGACTGAACAAGAGCATTATGGTACGTTTGTCCTACATCCTAGTCCAGGTACTCAATCTGCCATCATTTCCTGATCTATATAAGTCTCTAAGAAGTCATGTTTTGTATTAAAAATAAAGCAACTACAGTAAAATTAACTCTGTGGTACCATTCTTAAAACACTGATGTAAGAGAAGCAGTTTGTGACTTCAGCTCCCTGTGCTGGCCAGTTCAGGACTGAATTTCAAAGCAGCACGTAATGTGATCCTTGCATTTTCAGCACTTGATTAACTTTCTAGGGCTGAAGAGTTCAGAAGCCCAGTACAATAAGACTCACTATACACTAAGCCTCACAACCAACCATCGGGCAAAACCTGTTTATTAAGAACTGTTAAAAACCTGAACCAGAGGTAGTTTAGGAACTAAGCGTGCTCCAACGTGGTTATTCATATGACACCGATAGAGCTAGGGCAACACAATCATTCTTCCTGCACAACTTACCTGAAAGGGCATGTTTAGGTCTACAGAAACTGGCTTCTGCCAAGGGAGATGCTGCCATGGTAGTGCCTCTTCCTTTGACATCAGAAATAAGTTAAACCCACAAATGCTTCCCAGCCTTGCCAATTGCTTTAGCTCTTAAAAAACATTTATATTTCTGAAGGATCCTGAAAGGAAACCAAACCCTTGATGCTTCAGGCCATGAAATGAACAGCTCTCCAGCTAGCAACAGCCCAAACCTTTTATTTATATCTATTCCCTATCTGCCTTTTGGAAGGATTCATGAAGCAGCTGGTCCTTTAGCAGGTGTTGGACCCATGCTTTGATCCGATCAACAAAGAAAGATCAACTAATTGGGACGTAAATGTGTGAACACCTTAGAAGCCAAAGTTTCTTTTTCCCCACCAACATGCAGACCCAGGCACGTTGACAATCCCGTTGGAAGAGCTCTCAGAAAGAGTACGCGTGAGTACTTATACTAAACCAAAACTTTATAAACACTGTAATTAAATTTATTTTTTATACACATATTCTGCTTTCAGCATATTTGTACAGTCTTTTCAAGATTTGGAGAATTGTATATACCACTCTTCATGCTACAACAACCTTAAAGTGCTGGCTCAATTTTTGACTTCTATTGAAGCCCAAAATAATACTTTATATGTATATATAAAATATATACGTATGTGCATCCAGGAAATTGCCACATTTTACTAAAGTAACCTAGGAAAAGTGATGCAAAATATTTTGATCTGCAATCTGAGCATGAAACCATAGATGGAATCCATCTGCTGGCAGCAGAGAAGCAACACACTCTGACAAGCAGGTGTTACTCAGAAATTGCCAGTCTCAAAATAATTTGCCATTTACCACTCTGGCAGGGAAATCAAGTACTGCAAGAGCAAAGGTACAACACAAAAGACCAAGACAACCGAAACCAAAGCACACAGTCCAACTCAGCAGCATTAAATTGTACTCCTAAAAACGACAACTTGGTTCAAGAGCCCATTTGTGGTACAAAAAATCGGTTTTGTCAGATTCAGGGAAAGCTTATCTTTGGTCACAGTGAGAACAAGAATAATTGAGCGCAGAGATATTTCTCAAACATCAAAACTAACTCTTTAGAAATCTCCCTTCCTTGAATACATATAGCTATTGTGGGTTACTTAAACATCAGTGTTGACTGTCTCCTTTGTGCATGTGAA